AGGAGGGGTGGAGGACAGCATAAACTTTATATAAAATACATCCACATCAGAACATCAACACCCATCTCTCTCCGCCTCATTGCCCCTGCTCCAGGCACAGGGCCCTTTTACTGCATCGGAAGCTGACCTGGAACAGCCCGCCTCAGGGCCTTTGCATGTGCTCAGCCTCCTGCCTGAAGAACCCTTTCTCTGGCTCCTTCTGGTCCCAGCTCAAAAGTTACCTCCTGGGAGAAACTGCCCCACCCCCCAACGAGTCCAATCAGCCCCGTTTGTTTCCGGTTTCACCGGTTAGCATCAGAAACCAGCCGGTCCTCATACTTGTTTCCTTCTTAATTCTCACTTCCTTCACTAACTCGCACGATAAGGACAAGGTCCTTCTTGGCTGCTCCTGTGTCCCCAGCACCTGGCCCACTGCAGGTGCCCGATAGCTGCTTGTTGAATGAATACCCGAACTTCTGTTTACACACTCACCCGAGGGCCAGCTCATCTGCTTCCCCAGCCACCCAAAGAGACCACTTTACAGATGGGGAAACTGACCAACCAGGTGGGGCACGTGAGGCTTCCTGGACCCAGCAGGCCTTGGGAAATGTCTGCACCATGGCAGGGGCCAGCGTCCAACAGGGGTGGACAGGCCTGACAGTGGAAACAGCTGCTAAGTCAGGTTGGGTTTGAGGAGGACGGGTTCCTTTGCCTCCCCCAATTCTCCCTGAGGGTTTTGAGATGGGGCCTTTAACACCCAACTCCTCTAGGCAAACACACCCTCTCTCTGGCACCTGCCCCTCCCCCAGGAACAGGCCAAAGAGGAACCTACTTTCTCTAGCAGGAAACCAAGGAGGGCTCAGAGCGGAGGTGACTCAGGCTGGGATGGGCAGACAGAAGGAGCAGCAGCCCCCCTCTCCCGCCCCGGGAATGGAGGTGAGGGGGGATGGGGGCAGGTTGGAGGGACCCACCTGGCAGGTAAATACCCACTTCGAGTGGGTTAAGGCCCCTTAAATAACCACATCTGTAGAGACCAGTACAGCTTCTGGGTAATAATAACAATAAAGTAATAACAAATATAATAATAATAAAGCAATCACAAAATACCAAAATGAGAAAATTATTTTAAAATAACAAAACACCTACAATAGTGAAGTATTTAAGATAATTATTAAAGAATGGACCCTCCACTTTGCTGGGCACCTCCAAGTGCAGGGTCACTGACCCCAGCCCCTCAAATAGAGGACCGCTGTTATTTCATTTTACAGATGGGGAAACCGAGGCACCGAAGGGGTAACAGCCCGCCCGGGGCCACTAGGAAGGGCACACGAAGAAGCAGAAATGAAACCCCAGCAGCCAGGGTGGACCACCTGGGTTTCTGCACCAACACTCGGGTTAGAAAGAGATCTGCGAACCTGGGGGAGGGGGGCATACCCATATGGGGCCGCCCACCTGCCTCCAGTCCACGTCCCAGGACACACAGGCTCGTGTTGGCCCGGGTCTGTAAGCCCCCCATTCATTTGGGTATTTACCCGGAGAAAAACAAAGAGCGCGTCCACCGGGAGGTGGGGGGCTCACAACCCCGCCGGGTACACAGGACTGGCTGGGGGGTAAATCCCCGGCTGGGGGACAGGAACAGCCGCAAGTGGGTAAATACCCAGAACACCACCAGCGCGGATTCCGGGTACACCGCGCGCAGCGGCACCGCCTCACCCGACGCGGCGCCCGGGACCCCCGAAGCTCGGGCGCCGGGGGTCCGCACACGCGGACACAGGGGTGCCCCCTGCGCCCCGGCAAAGGCCCGGGAGTACGGGGATGGGGTTTCCCCGGGAAACACCCACTGACAACAAAGCCCACCACCACCCCGCTCCACCCGAGTGGGGTACCCCCCAGGAAAGGGGGCGGGGCGGGCCGGGGGCTGCAGCCCGGGAGGGGGTAAGAGGGGGGGGCCCCGGAGCCCGGAAGCGCGCCGCGCCCGCCCGCCCGCCGCGCTCACAGCGTCCGCCGCCCGCCCGGGGCGACCCCCGCCGCCGCCGCCTCCTCCGAGCCGCCCTCCGGGTTCTCCAGCGCCACCATAGCTTGCACGCCGCTGCTGTTGTCGCCGCCGCCCGGCAGGGCCTTCTCTGGGCCGGGCAGGAAGTGACGGGAGGCCGGAGGCGGGGCGGGGCGGAGCCTGGAGGCTGGACGCGCCCGGTGGAGTCGCGGCCACGTCCCGGCCGAGCCCGAGCTGCGGGCCGGGGACACCCAGCCCCGAGGCACGGACGGGGACACTGAGGGGGCGGCACCCAGCCCCGGGGAAACCGGGGCAGAAGGCCGCGCCTGTCCTGCGCCCAGGCGGGGCTGTGGGCACGGCACCCAGCCCTAGGGGGACAGATGGCGAAATTGAGGCCTGGGGAAGGAGGAAGGAAGTGGACGTCCTTTTCAGAGGCTTGGACAGATGAAATGACCCATGCTACCCCCACCCAGCACCAACAGGGCTTTCCTTCCACCAGACCCCTCCCTGTCCTCTGTAAAGTGCAGCCTCTGGAGTCCTGGCTGGGTGCCTCAATCTACTCTTCTCTAAAAATAGAACAAAGCTAACCCCACCTCCTTCTGCCTTTTAGAGTTTTTTCATTTAGCAAATGCTCACTGTCCTTGGGGTGGGGGCTGTGCTTTCCGGACCCAGCAGTGATCAAACAGGACCTCCCCGCCCTGGGCTAGGGAAGAGGAGACCTTTGGAAAGAGGACTGGCAGCCTGCAAAAGTGGGAGGGGTATGCCAGGCAGAGGGAACAGTCAGTGCAAAGGCCCTGGGGCATCCAGAATGGCTAGAGCAGGGTACTAGGTGAAGGGGGGAGGAGCAGAATAGAGGTGGAGGAGAAGGGACAGACCGATGAGATGGGGTGGGGGTGGGGCCTTTGATGACAGACCTGGTTTTTGACCCGAGGGTTAAGAACAGAGAATTAAACCTGCTCTAGAATCTAGAATCCACCCTTCATTCTACAAGAAAAGTGGGGTGGGGGGGGGGGGGAAGGACTTCCCTGGTGGCGCGGTGGCTAAGAATCCGCCTGCCAATGCAGGGGACATGGGTTCGAGCCCTGGTCCGGGAAGATCCCACATGCCGTGGAGCAACTAAGCCCGTGTGCCACAACTACTGAAGCCCATGCGCCTATAGCCTGTGCTCCACAACAAGAGAAGCCACCGCAGTGAGAAGCACGCGCGCCAAAACCAAGAGTAGCCCCCCGCTCGCGGCAAGTAGAGAAAGCCCGCGTGCAGCAAAAAAGACCCAACGCAGCCAAAAGTAAATAAATAAATAAGTAAATTTAAAAAAAAAAAAGAAAGAAAAATGGGGAACTAGGACCACGATAAGAGACACCACAGGGATGCAACCCCCAGATCCAGCCTGGTGGAAATTGTACAGGACAAACAACCCGATTGCTTTAACGTATAAAGAGCAAGAGGGGATAAAATAAAAAAAGAAAAAGGAGGAGGAACTATTACAAGACCCAAGAAAGCACACAGTGTGTGACCTCATGTAGATAAATATGAAAAAATCAAGGTGATACAACTTGGGAGATGGTACCTTTGGGGGGAGTGCTTGGGCGGGGGATCTGGGGGCCGGGATGTTTGGTCTGCAGCTCTGGCCCATGATGACCAGCTGCTCGATAGATGTGCTAACTCTACAGGACGCAGCCTGGGCCTTGCCGTGATTCTGGGGCCTCACTCATTCCTGTCCTCACCTTCTTTTTTTTTTTTGGCCTCGCAGCCTGGCATGTGGGATCCCCGACCCGGCATCGAACCTGTGTCCCCTGCAGTGGAAGCGGGAAGTCTTAACCACTGGACTGCCAAGTCCCTGTCGTCACCTTCCTAACACCCTCCCAGACCCTGGGCCAGTCCATGAGCCGTTGCTGCTAAACCCCACCCCCACCCCCGTCGAGGCCCCCTCCAAGGTCCAGCCCCCTGCTGCGTTCTCTCCCAGGCCCACTCAACTGAGCAGCCTCCCCAGGACAGTTCCTCCATGCCCGTGGAGTATCCCTGGGTCTCCTCATGCTAACCTGGCCCTCATTACCACCCCAAAGGGATTTTTTTTTCCTTTTCTGAATTTTTAGGCCATTGTCAAGAATGATGTTGAAGCCTGTCTCCCCCCCAGGCTCCTAGTACTTCCTTCTGGAGATATTTGATGCCCTTTGATGCCCATGCATATTTATTCATTTCTTTTCCCCCTTTTAGTCTTTTTTACACAGACGGCATCATCTTTTCTTTTGCTACTTAGAACATGCCAGTGCCCTGTTTCGTGCCTCACAGGCTAGTATCTGGGGTACATTTCTGGGTGTGGGTTTGGCGATCGACATTATCCTTTATAAACTTCCCTCCACCTGGTTCCCACTACCAGCAGCACAGGTGTCTGTGTCCCAGTGCTGGTATCTGCCAACCAATGCCCGTTAGGTGGGAGGTGGACCCTCTCAAGGGGTCTGATTTGCAGCAAAGTCCTGGGGAGGTTGAGTTTTGGTTCCTTTTTTGTTTTTCTTTTGTTTTGTTTGAGGTTAAGAACAGGCATCTTCTAACCACAAGATCCCGGGCATCCTTCTGTTGCCCTGAACCTCCATGGCTCGCCAGTGTCCTGGGGCAAACCCTGGCAGCAGATACGGAGGACCTCTGAGGGCTGACCTCACCGCCAGGCGGGGCCCACCCACCGGGAGCCCCAGCCCCATGGAAGGTCAAAGTCATGGCCTCTGCCTCATTCCCTAGACTCTGTGGCTTGCTTTGTCCCCCTGCTTTTCCTGCTGGTGGGTCTCTACCCTTCCCTCCCCTGGGGTAGGATCGGTCCTTCCCGGGTCCACAGCAGCCTCTGGGAAGCCTACCTCACCCCTGCTCCGCCCCAAGCCCCTCCTCCAGCCTCCCCCCTCCTGTGCTCTTATCCTGGCCCCCAAGGTGGGGGGGGCGGAGGGAATGGGAGAGAAGGGTGCTGCGCTGGTGAACCGCAGGGCGCACAGGAGTGGCCAGCGGCTGCAGGAGAGGCGGGAAGGCGGGGACACGGTGGGATGCGGGGTATAAACGCGCGGCGGCTGAGCACCAGCGGAGAATCCACGGAGCCCAGCGAAGCCGCGCTCCAGACCTTGTGGCGCATCCCAGGAGGGCAGCCGGGAGGAGGGTCACTGCCCCATCCCCGGGCGCAATCCCGGAGGGCGGCTGGGAGGAAGAGGGCGGCAATGCGCGCCTTGGCCACGTCCGGGCCCAACGCGTCCTGGTGGGCGCTGGCCAACGCATCCAGCTGTCCTGGCTGTGGCGCCAACGACTCGGACGGCCCGGCCCCGGCGCCGTGGCCCGTGGACGCCTGGCTAGTGCCGCTCTTCTTTGGCGCGCTGATGCTGCTGGGCCTGGCAGGGAACTCGCTTGTCATCTTCGTCATCTGCCGCCAGAAGCAGATGCGGACGGTGACCAACTTCTACATCGGTGAGCGCCCAGGCGCTGCGCGGTGCCTGCGGGCCATTCCGGGGGTCGCCACGAGGGCGGAGGGGCCAGGGGCGCCCCTAGCGGTGCGTCGGAGTCCTCTTAGATAGGGATCTCTCCCCTCCCAAGCAGGGCTCCCTGTCCTTTCCCTATTGTCCCTGTACCTTAGGCTGGAGGTCGCAAACTCTGGCGTTGGAGGGTTCCACGGTGGCCGGAGTAGTTAAAAGGGAGGTTGGAGGGTGTGGCCCATGGAGCGCTGGCCATGCCACTCAAGGAAGATGTCCGATTGAAATGTGGTTCTTATAACATGGTGTCCGATGAATAAAAGGAGTGGGGGAAAGACTGCGTGGCCCGCGGGCCCCCGGTTTGCGCCCTCTGCCCCAGAGGCTCAGTTTACACAGTTGTGTGATGGGGGTGCCCTGCCCGGCTGTGTACTCAGTCAGTGTTCCCCATTCTATGTCGGCTGTTGGGCAACACCACTCTACCCAATTTTCAGGTAAGAAAACTGAGGCTCAGAGGGGCGGGGGCCTACTCGCAACCCCCACAGGGGTGAGCAGGGTCCATTGCTGCTTGAACAGCTATGAAGCCCCTGCTGGGGGGTGTATGAAATATAAAAGGGTGAGAGGAGGGTGCCCCAACTTCTCTGCCCACGGATGTCGGGACCTCTCTGGGGGCCTCGCGAGCCACCCTGCTGGTCACTGGGACAAAGGCGAGGCCCAGTGGGCTGGGCCAGGGCGCTGGGCGGCTAGGCAGATGCACCCCACATCTAGCACCCGCGCGTCCCCCGCCTGCAGCCAACCTGGCGGTCACGGACTTGACGTTCCTGCTGTGCTGCGTGCCCTTCACCGCTCTGCTCTACCCGCTGCCCGCCTGGGTGCTGGGCGACTTCATGTGCAAGTTCCTCAACTACATCCAGCAGGTGCGTGGGCTGGGGGCAAGCGGGCTGGGGGAAGCGGTACGCGAGCCAGGGGGAGGAGTGGGTGTGGGCGGGGAGCCAGAGGGAGGAGTCGGTGTGACCTCCTGTTGGGCGTGGAGGTGGGCGGGGCGGGGACAGAGTCTGGGGGTGGGTGGGTGGGGCTGGAGCAGGTGAAGCCTGGACTGGGTGGGAGGGAGGAAGACGGGGGACAATGGGGGTTGGGCGGGGAGTGGGGTGGCGGGCGCTCGGAGCCCTGCTACTTCTTGCCCCACCCGTCTCGGGATCCTAGGATGCATCTGCCTCTCCTGGTCTCAGTCTTGGGGGCCTCAGCCTACCCCTAATGACTCCGCCCTCCCCCACCACCCTGGGCTCCTCTCTGACATCCCCTCCTCTCCTGCCCCTTCAACTTGTGGGCCCTGGAGACCCCCCCCCCCGGGACAGGTCCTGCCTGTATTCGAGTGGCTGGACAGTGGGGGACCCGCAAGGAGGGCGCAGACAGGGAAAGGTCCAGACCAGGCAGGGGGCCACACGCTGGGCTCCCGTCCCTCCCAGGTCTCGGTGCAGGCCACGTGCGCCACCCTGACCGCCATGAGCGTGGACCGCTGGTACGTGACTGTGTTCCCGCTGCGCGCCCTGCACCGCCGCACGCCCCACCTGGCGCTGGCTGTCAGCCTCAGTATCTGGGCGGGTGAGTGCAGCGCGGAGGCCGCACGGGGTAGGGGGGACAAGTTTTTGTGCCCTGGGCTCACACTCCACACACACACTCACTGCCTCTCCCTGGACCTCGCTCCTTCATCTGGGAAATGGACGCAATGGCATTCCCTGCGAGGGCTACTGAGGGCGCGGACCCGGGCAGACGCGCGCCTAGGAGGCGCTCAATGTCCGTTGCCCTAACCCTAACCCTAACCGGGGTTAGAGGCACCGGGGAGACCAGGGCCCGGGCCCCCTCGCGCCCCTCGTCCCCCGGGCCAGGTCTTCAGCCGGGCCTGTGATGCAGGCTCCGCGGCCGTGTCCGCGCCGGTTCTCGCCCTACATCGCCTCTCGCCCGGACCGCGCACCTACTGCAGCGAGGTCTTCCCCAGCCGCTCCTTCGAGCGCGCCTTCGCGCTCTACAACCTGCTGGCGCTCTACCTGCTGCCGCTGGTCGCCACCTGCGCCTGCTACGGGGCCATGCTGCGCCACCTGGACCGGTCCGCCGTGCGCCCCGCGCCCGGCGACAGCGCCCTGCAGGTGCGCGGCTGGGTGGATGGGGGCGCGGCCGGGCAGGGGATGGGGGGATGGCACAGTAGGGGGGAGTGAGGTGCATCTGAGGAGGGTGGCGCGGGGGGGGGGAATTTAAGAGGGTCAAGTAGCGGAGAGCCCTGGGTGTCGCCCCTGCCGGTCCTTCGCCTTCCCTCATACCCCCCCCCCCCCCCCCCCCCCCCCCCCCTCCCCAGGGGCAGTTGCAGGCGGAGCGAGCGGGCGCTGTGCGGGCCAAGGTCTCGCGGCTGGTGGCGGCCGTGGTCTTGCTCTTCGCCGCCTGCTGGGGCCCCATCCAGCTGTTCCTGGTGCTGCAGGCGCTAGGCCCGGCGGGCGCCTGGCATCCCCGCAGCTACGCAGCTTACGCGCTCAAGATCTGGGCGCACTGCATGTCCTACAGCAACTCGGCGCTGAACCCCCTGCTCTACGCCTTCCTGGGCTCCCACTTCCGTCAGGCCTTCCGCCGCGTCTGCCCCTGCGCTCCCCGGCGGCCCCGCCGGTCGGGACCCTCGGACCCGGCCGCCCCCCAAACCGAGCTGCACCGCCTGACCGCCCACCAGGCCCCCGCCAGGCCCCCGAAGCCAGGCAGCGGTGGGCTGGGGCCGCGCAGGTTGTGTGTCCTGAGGGAGCACGCTGCCGCTCTCTGAGCCCTCTCTGGGGGAATCCAGATGAGCCCCTCTGGAGCGGGAGCTGCTTAAACAGCAGCTGCTGGGATTCTGCTATTAACGTCTTTACTTTTGTCCATGTTCATCATAGTGAAAATGTTTTGCGCTCTTGTACAACTTTGCCACTATTGATACTGTAATTATTATTTCTGTGTTTCCTGAAGTTGAAGATGGTTTGCTGATGGCACTTTCTGGAACTTTCAAGGAAGCATCGATAGACATTTTCACACACTGCCTTGCAGTTGACTGTAAAACTGTAAGATTCGTGCCATTTTCAGAGATGTTAAAAAGTGAACACGATGTGCATCTTAAAATTGATAAAAAAAAAAGGTGCTCTTCTTGCTACCAGGCGAGCGTCCAGAATCCTGGCTGGAAAATAATGGGTGTCATTGAATAAATAAGGCCTCCCTGGAGCACAGTGCACAGAGCTGTCCCTGGGAGACACAGGATTAGCAGCACGTAACAAACCACCCCAAAACAGAGAGGTATAGAACAGCATCAGTGTATTACCACTCACGATTCGGTGACTGAGTGGGCTCAGCTGGGCGGTTCTTGTGACCCACGTGGTGTTGAGTAAGTAGCCGACCTAGCGGCTGGACCGGGAAGGCCGGAGAAGGCTTTGGTCTCACACTGGCAGCCAAGCACTCCTCCACAGGCTGCCTGGGCTTCCTCCAAACGTGGCAGTCTGCGGAAAGTCAGGCTTATGCCTTGGCGTAAACTTCCAAAGTAGAGGTGGGAGCCGCAGAGCCTCACTCCTTCCACGTTGAATTGTTGGGTGCTGTAAGAGTCACACCCAGATTCAAGGTGGGGGGAACAGACCCACCTCTGGGTCTGTTGAGCTGCGTGTGCCTGCTGGGCAGGGGGAGGGTTAGGGTGAGGCCCTGCAGGCCTCAGGCTTAGTCGCCCTGAAGGACAACTGCCCATCTCTTGGAGGGCCCCCGTCCTTCCAAATTATGTGGGGACATCCTAGGTCTCCAAAGAGCCCAAATTTGCAAAGATGTTATGTGAGAAGGGGAGGCCATTCCATTCTGACATAGGCATTGGCCTGAAGCTCGCTTGTTCTGGTCTTCAACTCCTGGTCTCTGTACCAGGCCGGGCATGAGGGTGAAATCTCCCCTTTGCCCACAGGCCCTGCCCACCTCCCTCCCTCTCCTCGCCTCATCCCCCAAAACTCAACTCAGGGAATGAGTGGCAGGATTTCCTGTGAGAAAGGAATTTGAAACAAACAAACAAACCAACAAAAAAAAGCAGGGAATTTCCTGGTGGTCCAGTGGTTAGGACTCCATGATTTCACTGCTGAGGGCCCATGTCTGATCCCTGGTTGGGGAACTAAGATCCCACAAGCTGTGCGGCCGAAAAAACAAAACAAAACAAAGACAACCGAACACAGTTCCAGAGGGACTCTTGGGCACCTATCTCAGAGAAATGAAAACTTCTGTTCACACAAAAATGTGTACTCATGTGATCATAGCAGCTTTATTTGTGATAGCCCCAAACTGGAAATTACCCAGACATCCTTCGACAGGTGCACCCGTGGTCCGTCCACGCCCACTCAGCAGGTCTGAGTTGTGAACACGCTGTTGATACACACACACCCGGGGTGGATCTCTGGGAATGACGCTGAGTGTAGGAAGGAAGTCCCCGAAGGTTACACGATGTACCATTCCATCTGTAACGTCCCTGAGGTGACAAAAATATGGGAACGGAGAGCAGATGAGCGGTGGCCAGGGTAGGAGATGACAGGAAAGGGGCAACATGAGGGACTCTTACGACAGAGCCACTCTGCCCTTGGGCTGTGGTGGAGACACAAACCTATGCAGCTGATAGAATTGCAGAGAAAACTCACACATGAGTACAAGTAAAGTGGGAAATACGAATCCATGGGTGGGATGTAGCAATTCCAATATCCTGATCTCGATGTGGTACTACAGTTTTATAAAATGTCACTGTTGGGAGAAGCCTGGTGAAGGGTATGAGAGAGATATCTCTGCATTAGAATCTACAACGATCTTGGGATTTCCCTGGTGGTCCAGTGGCTAACACTCCGCACTCGCAATGCAGGGGGTCCGGGTTCCATCCCTGGCCAGGGAACTAGATCCCACATGCATACTGCAGCTCAGAGTTTGCATGCCGCAACTAAAGATCCTGCGTGCCGCAACTAAGACCTGGCTCAGCCAAATAAATAAAGAAATATTTTTTAAAAATGTACAATGATCTCGAAAAAGTTTTTTTTAAAATGAAGTTAAAGGGTTTAAAGGGACATCCAGGAAGAGGCATCGTTCCAAAACTGCAGACCCTTGGTTTATCCTCAAGTCTGTTCAGCTGGGCAGTTTTCAGAGCCCCTTCTGCGTGCCAGGCTCTATGTACGAGGCACCCTCTGACCCCTACCCACACAGAGCCCCTGTCTAGCAAAGGGGCCAGTGAGTGGCGAACTACCTAGAGAGATGCAAATAACAGCAGTGAAAAAGGTTACAAAGGAGATATGTGTGCCCTTTGTGAGTAACTGTGAGTCTGACCTTGGTGGCAGTGATTCCAGCAAGGCTTCCTGGAGGAGGTGAGACCAGGAAATGTGACCCGAACTCAGCTGGTGCAGCTAAACTGGGAGGGGGTGAGATGGGGTTGGGACCCGAAGCCACAGCATGGGGATAAGCCCCGGGGGTCCGGGCGGGTCGGGAGAGGTGTTAATTCCAATTTCAGATAAACAGTGAAAAAAATTTTAGTATCATTAGGTCCTGTGCAATATTTATTTGGGATACATTTAAAGTTATTTGTTGTTTATTGGAAATCCAAATGTAACTACAGTCCTGTATTTTGTCCGGCAACTCTACCCCGGCACATTTCTAAGGAGCCACAGGAAGGGCTCGGCGGGCCTCCGTTTCCCCGTCCGACCCGGGAAGTTCGTTTACAGGTGAGACGGCGCCCCCTGGCGGCCTCCGGCGGCAGCCCCACCCCCCGGCTGCAGTCCACAGGTGCCCGGCAGGGGGCGCGCGAACCCCGCGGATGGTCCTGGCTTCGCTGGGTCCACCCCACACAGGGACCCCAGGGCCTAGGGGGAGTCGCTCATGCGTATCACAACCTGGACCAGCGGTTCAAAGTGTCCCTGCTGCTGCAAAATGGGTCAAGCAGAGCCGCACTATGAATGTTCTGGGTCTCCTGGGCCCCTTCTATGAAAAAATATTAAAAATTCTATTTTGCAGCTGCGTTGGTATAATGACGAAATACTTTAGGCTGGATTCATGACTATCTATTCCTTATAATTATACTCTCTTTTCTCTTCTTACTTTAAAAGAAGTTATAATTACATTTTCATAGACCCCGGTTCACAGGGACAAGGCAACCTGGAGGCCAGTCGGCGTTCTGGGATTTGGGGCTGGGCCCAGCATCCCCTTCAGGTCTTTCTTTTTCTTTCCTTTTTTTTTTTTTTGAGATTGAGATGGTGAATAGTTAACTTGCCCTCCACCTCTGTGGAGACAGACTCCAAAAATACCATGGGGTGAGGGAGGACAGAAGGGGACCCATGAATTCATTCATTCAACCAACATTTATGTGTCCGGCCCAACCTCAGGATTGGAGATGCAACCAGCCGTGATCAAGGCTAAGGAGGTTAAACAACTGCAGCTGTTTTGAACAGAAGAGCCTGGGTGAAGATAAAACAAGGTGATGTGAGGTTCCAGTTTGAATGACAGAGCACAGCTGGGGAAGGGTGGTCCAGGCAGGGGAATGGCCAGGGCAAAGGCCCTGAGGCAGAAATATGTTTCAGGGGGAATATATGTGGGAAGGAGGGCAGTTTGTGATCTGGGCGAATTTTTATTTAATTTAATTAATTTATTTATTTATGGCTGCCTTGGGTCTTCGTTGCTGCGCGCAGGCTTTTTTCCTCTAGTTGCGGCGGGCGGGGGTGAGCGGGGTCTACTCTTCGTTGCGGTGCACAGGCTTCTCATTGCGGTAGCTTCTCTTGTTGTGGAGCGCACGGGTTCTAGGTGTGGGGGCTTCAGTAGCTGTGGCTCGCAGGCTCAGTAGTTGTGGCTCGCGGGCTCTAGAGCACAGGCTCAGTAGTTGTGGCGCACGGGCTTAGTTGCTCCGCGGCATGTGGGATCTTCCCGGACCAGGGATAGAACCCCTGTCCCCTGCATTGGCAGTCGGATTCTTAACCATCGCGCCACCAGGGAAGTCCCAGAACTTTTAAAAAGATGCTGCACCCCCCAGCCTGAATGGAGGGCAGGAGGAGTGACTGTCTGAGGGGCTAAGTGAGAATCAGGCTCGTATTTACAGGACCCCCACAAGCTGGTCTGGCCAGGAAACCTTAGAGGGCTGGGGGTCGCAGCATTCCCATTTCCCAGCTTGAGAAACAGAGACCAGAGCAGGGTTTGTACTAACCTAAAATCACACAGCCAGGACCCAGGTGCAGCCCAGGCCTTCTGCCGGTCCCTTGTAGAGCCAGCAAATCTGGTATCAATTCCCAGCTCCCTGCTGGGCTAAAAATAGGACCCCCTTCACTAGAGGCAGCTGGGAATCCTGCAGCTCCTCACTCTTCCGGGCCAGGCACCTCTGGGAAGTTGCACCCAGCTACTTAGAGACAGCCACTTCCCTCTGGGAAATGGGGGACAGAGTGGCACACTTCCTGCCCTTCGGGAGACCCCTCCCTGCCCCCTTCCCTTTGACCAGAGGGGAATGTCATCCTCAAAACCACTGTAGGAGGAATAAATTTAAATTGGCCCATTTTAGAGAGGGGGAAACTGAGACACAGGGAGGCCCCATGCACATGCCTGGGGTGGGGGAGGGGATGCATTCTGAGGTTTGGCTCTTTGGTGGAGAGGGGGCTTTCCTGCACGTTGGAACTGATCTGGGGCCTGGCCCTTAAAGGGTGGCTTCCCTCTTCCAGCTCACCTGGGTCTCCAAACTCTCCCCCCTCCTCGGGCAGGGCAGTTGTTGCCCCTCTGGTGGCAGGGGCGGGGCAGGCAGCTGGGGTTGGCAGTTTAATAGCCTCAAGGTAGAGGCCTCCCTGCCACCTGCTGTCATTAGGCTAAGGGCAGCCCAGGGGCTGGAAGGCTGGGTAAATGAAAGGGGCAGGCAGAACTCTGGCCCTGGGCTGGGGGTGGCTCCCTTGCACCATCCCCTGGGCTTGGGAATTCCCCAGAGAGCGGATGGGGGCGGGTGATGTCCAGAGGGGGACTACCCACAGAAGATGGCAATGCTGTGCGTTGTGTGTGTGTGTGGGGGGGGGGGCTGCACACAACCCCCGCCTAAAGATCAGGGACTCTGGCCCCTCCCTGTGAGGGCCCTCTGAGTGGCCCCCGCCGGCCCTCCAATGCTCCCACTTGGCTCTTATCTGAGCTGGAGCCTGGGCCCCTGCGATTAGCTCGCAGGCGTGGCCTCAGGGGCTCACACCTCCCACCTGAGTCCACAACCCCAAGCCCACCTCCCCCAACCGACTCTGGGCCTCAGTTTCCCGCTCTCTGAAATGGGGACATTAAGAGTCTCTGCTACACAAAAATGTGAACCTCATGCCTTGGGCACCTGGCCGCACAACCGAGCGCTCTAAATGTGGAAATTGTTGTTGAACTATTATTACCAAGAAGATAATCTTGTCTCTCCTCCTAGGTTTGGGTAGTCAGGTTCCCAAGAGGTGATGGGAACCTCAGGTGGGGGTGGGAGGGTAGGGGTCAACAGGATTTCGCGAGGAGCCCTCCTAGGTATCTTGGACGCCCTTCCCCACCCCCACGCCTTTGACAGTGCGGTGCCCACGCGCCTGGC